TGAGAATAACACTCTGCAGAAACCAAAACCCACTCCCAGGTGAAAAGTTTCCCCACAGTAACATGCTCCAGTCATGCTCCAGACACGGTGCTCTGAAGTACAAAGGTTTTATTGCAGTGTTCCATGATTTCCAGTACCATTCACTTTGTCCCTGGGTGCTACCCAAGTGCAAGCCATGGGAGAAGGAAGAGCTCAAGGATGGGAACTGGACAACAGAAGGTGTCTGTGCCCTGTGCTTGTGCTGCCTCTTCCCTGGAACTGAGTGTGGAGAAGTTTGCTGCTCTCCCTGGAACAACCTGGTGAGGTGAAATTTTGGTCATGAAGGATTGTCAGTTGTTGGCCTGTTGAGGGTGCTGAAGGAGCAGGAATCAGCAGCCTTTCCTGCTGGGCTTCACTTTAATTCAGGGTTTCTAACAAGATGCCTTTGTACAAAGTACTGTTGAGCTTCTAACTCAGGTTTTGCTGTAAGTACTGGTTTATTTCCATTTTTTTGTTGCTCATTCTCTTTGGTTTATGTAAGCTTTAACCTGCCTGTTTTGAGACCTAACTATCTTAAAAGAGGCAGTACCTCTAGAATTAGCACAGAGTTGCTGCTGGGTACTGACACAGGACAGCTCCTCTCCTCGTGTTGTGTTTCAAGGTCTTTCCAACACTGCTGCTTTGTTTCCATGTCATAAAAATGGTGATTCAGACACCAGGGAAGCCTTCATTTCCTAGGAGAAATTACCCTGGTTGCTTCAGAAATGACCTCTCAACAGAAACCTGACTTTTGAGGAGAGGTGTTTAATACAACTTGTAATGAAGAGTTGGGTGTTCCAGTGGCTAAACCTGGGTCAAGAATCTTTGCATCTTTCTTACTAGTGGATAAGCTTGAGGAAGTACTTTGAAAGACAGGTTTCAGCCTGAGTACCTGCAATTCCCACTGCTGCTAGCAGTCCCTTGGGAGGCAGGCAGCAACACTTCTCTGTTCCTGTTAGGTTGGTGTGCAACAGGGAGGTTGTTACCTTCTAAAACCTTGTGTTACACAGCTCTTGTACAATTAGGAAATAAGGATACATTCCTGGAAATACGTTACATTAAATGACACTAGCGTCTCGCAGAAAACATGTAGCAGGGCCTTTGGGTGAGGCTCATCAGTACCAGCTGGTCTCTCTCCTCAGCCCAGGCCGGGGTCACAGCTCAGTCATGAATCCCTGCAACAGCTGCCTCAAAGGATTGTACAATTGCAGCTTTCCAAAAATGGGATTGTTGCAGCTCTTGGCAGGTTTTCTCCTGCGAGTCAGACTTTTCCTTCCATGTATTCACGGGCTTCCCTCTATCCCTTTTGACAGAAAAGCCACCAGAAGCTCTGTAGCTGCAGCAGGTAGCATTGACAGGAAGAAAACATACTGGTTTTATTTCTGACCAGACCACACAAAACACGGTGTGTAGAAGCTCCGCGGTGCCTCCTCACTGTCATTCCCCAGGGATGCGGAGGAGGCAGCAGAGCTCACATGCAGTCCACAACGTTGCTGGGTCCTTGTCCCACATCCCGGATCTGGCTGCTGAGACAAGAGCAGACAGCCACTCCTGCCCCTGCCCTGCAGTGCGACACGGAGCCCACCAGCTCCCACCTGAAGAAGATGGCAAGAGACAAAAGCAGAGTAAGTTCCTGCCCTGAGCAACCAGGAAGCATTTCTGTTCTGTGCCTGAAAGGCCCCTGGACAGCCCAGCTGTCTGCTCTGCACAAAACCACACTCTGCTGGTTTATTCTGACTCTTTCTCTGGTATATTTAGTGTGAACCAGAAGAAAAATTCTTCTGGAATGAAGGACAGTGGGTGGAGAGGAGAAGCTTCATGTTTACAAGAACAGCCCAGTGACAGATGCAGCTCTCCTGCCTTATTACTTAATGACTCCTCCTGCTGCACACCAATTCTGTTACCTTCTGCTTTCCTTCCACTGCCTTATCAAGCCAGACAAAACCCATGTACATTACCTATTCACCAGGGGGTCAAAGGCTTCCACAGTGTTCAGGTAGGCATTGCCATTATGGCCTCCAACTGCAAAGATCTTCCCCATCAGGGTAGCTATGCCCACACCACCCCTGGGAGTGGTCAGCTCTGCCACGTACTCCCACTTGTTACTGCGGGGGTCAAACCTCTCCACTGAGCTCAGGGGGGAGTTGTCATCAAAGCCACCTGCAAAGAAACCAGCATGTTACCAGTTTGAGCCACTGGTGATATCCAGACTGGTGTTAAAAGGCTGTTCTCTTAGTGTCCAGCTCCATTTATTCACATGAACTTCACAAGCTCCTAAAACTCCATCTGACTGCCAAGAGTGACAATTTGCTCTACTCAAATTGCAAGGAGAGGTGTTACTCTGATTTTTCCCCTTCTATTCATCTTATGTGTGGTTATAATGGAGGTGTTTCTAATTTGGAGTAGAAAATAAACCTTGAGACCAGCAAAAGGATGGTCCTAATTTTATGCTGCCTTAAGCAAAACATAGTATTTTCCAATTACAGCATTGCTTAATATTTAATTGGGCAAAAAAAGGCCTCAAGTAAGACCACAGGGATGTGTTCCCCTTGCTGGGGCAGCTGTCAGAGGAATGTTTATCCTGGCCAGGATAGTTAATTTGCTTCCTAGCAGCTTGTATAGTGCTTTGTTTTGGGGTCAGCATGAGAAGAATGTTGGTAACACTTGTTGGTATTTCAGTTTTGCCAAAGAATGTTTGTGGTAAGTCAAGGACTCTTCAGCTTCGGGTGCTGTGCTGGGTGAGGAGCTGCACAACAACCTGAGAGGGAGCAGAGCCAGGACAGCTGAGCAAAGGGACCCTCCATCCCACAGGATATCAAGTGGGGGGGAGTTGGCTGAGGGGGATCACTGCTTGGGAACTAGGTGGACCCCAGTCAGTGGGTGGTGAGCAGTTTTGCTGTGTCACATGTTTGATATATACTATTATTATAATAATCATCTTTGTTCCCTTGTTTAAGTTTCTCCTCCTCCATGGATGGATTCCAGCCAAGGATGGGTGTGAACTGGCACCAGACACACGCAGAGGGAAGGGAAGGGTGGTGCTCAGTGTTGGCTGGAGGTCACCTCCACCAAGGCAGAGCTCTGCAGCCACCACTACAGCCCTCCTGGCATCTTCCTCCCTCAGGAAAGCAGGTAAATGCAAGGTAGAGCAGAACAAGGCAGGCCTAGGGCAGCCAGCTGTGGAGTAAGTGTCACCACCATGTGAAAAGCTGCTATAGTCTACACTCAGAACAGAACTAGAGTGCTTAAGAAGTGTGTGAATTTAAGACTCATTTTCCTAGAAGGAAACTCAAGACTAGTGAGTCTTAAGAGAATTTTCAATGTACTGTTCTGACCAGTACAGGCCTCCTGGAATGTGGGTCAGGAGCTGCTTTGTACCCTAGACTACTAAGCCCTGGTTGTGCTTGCTTTCTTCTCCTGCCTGAGAACACAAAGCCCAGGTCAGGTCTGTCTGTTCCCTAGTTCCTCCAGCACCAGCAACCTCTTCCAAAGGCCTGTCCTTGGCAGAGACAGCACTACCAAAAGCCACCTGCCTACTCACCCACAACGTACAAGCAGCCATGGAGCTCACTGACCCCATTGCCAGCTCTTCTCTGACCCATCTCCTTCACTTCCATCCACTTATCCAGATGGGGATTATATTTCTCCACACTGGAAAGAGATGCTACCCCATCATTGCCACCCACAGCATAGACATGGCTCTGGAAAAGCAGAGAGATTAGTTGTCATGTGTTTACTGGGCTTTTCAGAAGCAATGTTAAAATTATAGGGGGGGAAAAATGGTATATTCATAAGGTCCTAATAATTTTATTTAATGTCAACAACAGACTTAATTGGAAGATAAAGTAAGTTAATTAAGGAAGTGAAAAAGCTAAGTAGTGTTGCAGATGTTTTGCGAAGTCTATATGGTGCCAGGGGGGTGAAGGTACAGGTGTCTTCAGAGCTTTTAAACATAGTGACCAACTTCTGAAAGAGACATGAAGCTTGGTGGTGTTAGAAGGGTCCTGGTACTTGCTCCCAGCACCTGTTGAATCAGAGTGCAGTTCTGTTTGATGTGAGTGCTCTCCTCAAGGCCCTCCCCTTGTGCACAGCTCCACAGCCTTTGCATGACTGGAGGTGCTCAGACCCACCACCTGCGTCTCATTGATCTTGTGCTCTGCTGTGTAGAAGCAGCTTGAAAAGCAGGTTTGATTCTCAGCTGACACCTGACTAGGGGAGTGTGGGGGGGAAACAGTCACTTACCAGGAGGGCTACAGAGCCAACTCCTCCCCTGGGAGTGTTCATGGGGGCCACTGTGCTCCACCGGTCAGAGTCGATGTCGTATCGCTCCACGTCGCTGAAGCAGGTGTTGTCATCCAGCCCCCCAATGGCATAAATGGGGCCACCCAGGGAGGCCAGAGCAATTCCTCTCCTGAAGAAAAACATGGGGTCCATCATAGAATCACAGATTGGTTTGAGCTGGAAGGGACCTTAAAGATCATCTAGTTCCAACCCCCTGAATGGGCAGGGACATCTCCCATCAGACCAGGCTACTCCAAGCCCCATCCAACCTGCCCTTCAACACTGCCAGGGATGGGGCAGCCACAGCTTCCCTGGACAACCTGAGTCAGGGTCTCACCACCCTCACAGCAAAGAATTTCCTCCTCATGTCCAACCTCAATCTCCCCTCTTCCAGTTTTAATCCATTCCCCCCTTGTCCAAAGCCCCTCCCCAGCTTTCCTGGAGCCCCTTCAGGCACTGGAAGGTGCTCTAAGGTCTCCCTGGAGCCTTCTCTTCTCCAGGCTGAACACCCCAACTCTCTCAGCCTGTCTCCAGAGCAGAGCTGCTCCAGCCCTCTGTCTTCACGGCCTCCTCTGGACTCTCTCCAACAGCTCTACATCCTTGTGTTGAGGACTCCAGACCTGGGCACAGCACTGCAGGTGGGGTCTCACCAGAGCAGAGCAGAGGGACAATCCCCTCCCTGGCCCTGCTGCCCACGCTGCTCTTGCTGCAGCCCAGGACAGGGTTGGTTTCTGGGCTCCAGCGCACGGTGCCGGCTCGTGTTGAGCTTCTCGTCCACCATCTCCCCCAGGTCCTTCTCATCTCA